CGCGTAAATTGTAGATACGGTAAGTACATTCATATGTATATTGGTATTATGGTATTTTTTGTAAATTTCGCTTCACAATCTTATTTGCAGCCCATATTGTTTGTGGCTACCCTGTCGGGAAAATGTTCGGATATTTCTTTTATGAGAACTGCTAAGCAATACATTTATTACGAGTATTATTGGTATGATAAGCATATTGGTGTTTGGTATTATAGTATTTTTGGTGATTTTCAATTCAACATTTCATTTACAGATAAATTTTTCCATTTGATATACTGACATATTGCGTTTATCTCATAAAGTCTACATAAAATCGGTAGCCTTATAATTTCAAAAAGTTATTTTGTTGATCGTAATGACCATTTTTACTACTATAGGATTCAATTTAATATAATTACGCATAACAATGCCTCGAAAAAAGTATATGGGAGTGTCAGCTGATCGCAAAAAACGTAATTGCCTTCCAATAAACCAAGATATGCAACAACGGCAGATCTATTTGCAACGAGCTGGGGAATGTATGCGGAACCAAAGGCAGAAACAACGGGCCGAACAAAGCCCAAAATTCACTCCCCAATTTAGTAGTGTTTTGGTGCCATCATATTTTCAGCGATTAAGTGAAGATGTCAGTGCAAGGAGGCGGCAAGAAAAGCTACCAAAAACTATTTGGAGAATATCCGTAAATTTAACAACGGTCTTGCATTTGCTTCAGTTCGGGTGAACTTTGCCTATATTCCGGGTAGAGGACCATTTTGTTTTAAACTAGAGTAGGACGATTCTCAGATATTATTGTTTCTGTTAAAGAAACATTTAATCAAAAAGTTAATTCTGAATATATTTTCTCCTCCAATTTTGTATACAAAGTAAGTGACACCATGTTTCCCTCAACTCATGACACTCATATATCAGTCAGTTTGTAATATGTTTTTATGTATGTACCTAATAAGTATAAGTTCTGATGTACTATAAATCTCATTAATGCTTTGTAATATATGTATGATAAAAATAAGGTGTTTATAAGAATAATTATTTCCGCGAACTATTAGAACAGTCTGCTTCTATCTGTGGCTACAAAGAGGGATGAGGTTACTGTGTATTTCTGTCTGCGCAGACTGCGCACGGGGCCCGCTTGTGTTACAATATTTATAAGAAGGCAAAATTTTTTAATAGAAGAGAAAATGCCATAAGTTTGTAATTTATCTCTGTTTTTATATTTAAGTAATACAAACATGAACATTTCCTTTGTTAAACAAAAATAAAGTGGTGTACAGCTTAGCTAGGAATAATCTTTGTTAACCAAGAAAAATGTAATGGATTTACTAGTCTTTCTAATTGTAATTTATGCATTAAAAAAAGTTAATTCTAGTTGAAACATTTTAGCCGTTTTTTTGTCCAATCCAGCCGGTCACCCCAAAAAGTTCTGGCAACACTGCAGTTCACCCCACGACGCTCGTTATTGCGTTTGATTGATTTGTATGTTTGTATGTATGTCATTTGAATAGTTGTGTCTTTTCCTGTGCTTGACTGAATCGGATGTTTGTGCGTGAATTGCCTAATTATGTTTATTCATATGTTTGACTGAGATGGATGTTTATAACTGGCCGTCTCCACAGGATAAAATTTATTGCTGCCCAGCTGTCATTTTGGTCGCTAGATATAAGTTATATCAGTGGCAATATTTGTGTGGGCTTTTTATATCTTCATATATGCATTTGTAAGCTTTGAATAAGTATTTTTACCATATTTAATCGCTTAAAAAATTTAGAAAATAGGCGATTTTACATCCAAGTACATAAAATAATAATGATGTTGCAGCCACGAAGTTTTCGTGCAAATGAAAATGTAGCTGTCAAACTACCAAATTGCCGGCAATAGATAGCAAGATATAAGCTCTGATATATATTGCTCTTAAAGAGCAATGAGCGGTCACCATTGGCTATTTATATTCTGACATATGTATCAAGATATAAACTTTATCGTGTGGAGACGGGCAGTAAGTATTCGCGAATTGTATGTGTTCTTGTGATTGGCTGAAATGTATGCTTGTGCATACTCTTGTAAATATAGAGTGCTTGGTACAATTCTTACATATATAAGTTAACTCATGACTCCCACGCCGACGTACGTTCCATGTAAACATCACAATAACAGTATAAGAATTTGAAACACTTGCAATTTTAAGTTTCAAGCGATAGCTTGCTATTCTCCAGAAATGAAACCCGAGCCGCAACTGCAGCTGTGACAACATGAATACGGCAGCTCTTGGCAGAACCATGCAATTAGCTTAAGCAAATTTGTATTCTTACTATTGGCTTTGCTTGGATATTTTTGTGTGTGTGTTGGAAGTAAATTCTTTTTAGAAACGTTAGGAGATATTTCAATGTTTAATAAAGTTTTAGTTTGTCTCTACCATCAAAAGAAATAAGTTGTTTTAATTCGGTCTTCCAATATTGTTGCTATCAGTTGGCATTTTTATTATTTCATCAAATCATAAAGAGGAAGGAAAACAAAAGGATTTTCATCCATTAATTTAGTAGCAGAGTTGACGATTTCAATCTATTTACCAGTAACTAAGTCAAGGAATCAACAAGGAAAGAAGTGGCGCCCAACATTTTGAAGAACACGACCCTAGAATGGAATTATTAATAGTGTAAGAAAAACATTAAAATATTTTTAAGAAAGAATAAGTGAATTAAAAGTGAATAAGTGAATGTGAGTAAGTTTCAAAAAGTTGTTAAAAAAAAAGGAAAATAAGAGAAGAAATCTTAATACATCAAAATGAATGAAGATCAGATTAGAGAATTATTCGAGGTTTTTGCAAATAAAGTGACAGAGACTTTGCAGGGACGTCTGAACACTTTGACAGAAAGATTAGACAAAATCGAAATTCCGCGACAGGTTAGGGAGTACCATCAGGTAGAAATAAGGCCTGGAGTAACCTGCGATGAGCCTCTGGATATAGTAAAGACATTGCCCGAATTCAACGGGGATGAAACTAAGTACGTTTCCTGGCGGCATGCAGCCCACGCCGCCTATAAATTGTTCGAACCTTATGAAGGTAGTTCAAAGCACTACCAAGCAACAGCCATAATAAGAAATAAAATTACGGGTCGCGCGGATGCCACCCTGGCATCCTTCAATACGACACTAAATTTTCATGCGATTATCGCAAGATTAGACTTTTCATTTGCGGACAAACGTCCGATATATCTTGTAGAACAAGATTTGTCTACCCTAAAGCAGGGTAGACTAACAGTCGAGAGTTTCTACGAAGTAGTCGAAAGGAAGCTCACCCTTATAATAAACAAGGTAGCCATGTCACATGATGGCAATTCAGGCTTAATAGACTCCCTGAATTCGAAATACAGGGCAGACGCACTTCGAGTATTCATATCGGGTTTGAATAAACCCTTGTGCGACATACTGTTTTCTGCTAAGCCGGACAACTTGCCAAGTGCACTGGCACTGGCGCAGGAATTGGTATCGAATCAAAACCGGTTCGCGTTTGCAAATGCTTTTCACAGCTTAGATTACAGGCCAAGCAGGAATTTTACTACAAATTATCAAGCAGCAGCGAGTAACTTACGACAAACTGCAGGTGCAAGTGAACGCCCAATACCTATGGACGTAGATCCCAGCACCTCGAGATATAGGGCAAATACAAACAGGGGTCTTGGTTTCGGTAACAAACCCAATAATCCTTTTAGCAGATCTAATACCAACACCGCAGTGGAAAGAAAGCCATTTGGCAGAAGCAGGGCAGATGGGTATAACCATACAGTGGAAAAAAATCCGTTTAATAGGAGCAGGGCTGATGTGTCCAATACTGAAGCACAAATACCGACAGAGGGTGCCCAACAGCCGATAGCTAGACGACAGGCCTTGAACCATATAGAAGCAGATAACTGCAATTTTTTAGATTAGGGTCGCAACTGCCATATATTGAGAAACATATGAACGGTAGGATGTTGAGATTTCTCTTAGATACTGGCAGTGCTAAAAATTATATTAAGAAATTACCATTTTTAAAGGGGGTTGCGGGACTCGAAAACCCGTTCACTGTAAAGACCGTAAATAGTAAACTGATCATAGATCAAAAGTGTCTAGTGAACTTGTTTAACGAGTTTTCGCATTTTTATATATTGCCTGAACTAGAATCATTCGAAGGGATAATAGGTTACGATTTCATGAAACAGATAGGTGCGGTAATAGATACAAAAAAAGAAATGATTATATTTAATAATGGAACAGAACTACTTAAATTCAAAAGCTGTGCTGAGGTCAATCAGTTGGAATTGCCTCACTCTTTGCCTTCATACGTAAAGGCGAGATTTTATGAAATTATAGAAGAGCTAAAAGAAGTGTTCGCGAGTCCAGATGTTAAGTTGTCATATAACACTAATGTTGTAGCAACCATTGGTACAACAAATGACGAACCAGTCTATAGCAAGAGCTACCCTTACCCAATGGCGGTTAACGAATTTGTGAATAAAGAAATTAGGAATCTTTTAGAGGATGGAATAATACGACCGTCCAAGTCAGCTTACAACAACCCTGTTTGGGTGGTGGATAAAAAAGGAATCGATGAAAATGGGCAAAAGAAAAAAAGATTGGTTGTCGATTTTAGGAAATTGAATAGCATTACCGTAAGCGACAAGTATCCGATTCCAGACACATCGGTGATTCTTTCCAACTTGGGTAAAGCAAAGTTTTTCACAACACTGGACCTAAAAGCGGGATTTCATCAAATATTACTTCATGAAAGAGATAGAAAAAAAACCGCATTTAGCATAAATAACGGGAAATACGAATTTTGTCGTATGCCATTTGGGCTCAAAAATGCACCAAGCATTTTCCAAAGAACAATAGACGACGTTTTGAGATCCAAAATAGGAAAAACATGTCATGTCTATGTAGATGATATTATTGTGTACTCAGAGAATGAATGTGAGCACTTGAAGCATTTGCAGGAGATTTTGATTTTGCTGAATGACGCGAACATGAAAGTTAATTTAGAGAAGTCTAAGTTTTTTAAAGAGGAAACAGAATTTTTGGGATTTGTTGTATCAGGAAAGGGGCTTAAAACATCACCCGACAAGGTGAAAGCTATTATGGAATACGAAGAACCGAAAACCATTCGCGGTCTTAGAGCGTTTTTGGGTTTAACGGGTTACTATAGAAGATTTATCAAAGGGTATGCCGATATTGCGAAGCCTCTAACAAGGTTTCTAAGAGGGGAAAATGGTAACGTGAGCGCAAGTCAGTCTAGGAAGATACCCGTTGAATTAGACATAGAGGGGCGTGCGGGATTTGAGAAGCTAAAAGAGATTCTGGCATCTGAGGAAGTTATACTTCACTATCCAGACTTTAATAAGCCATTTGATTTGACGACCGATGCATCATCACAAGCTATTGGTGCGGTCTTATCACAAAACAATCGCCCGATCACATTTGTGTCAAGAACACTGTCTAAAACTGAGGCCAACTATGCAGTGAACGAAAAAGAACTACTAGCTATAGTGTGGGCTATAAAAAGTTTGAGAAATTATTTGTATGGGTGCAGAGGACTAAATATTTTTACTGACCATCAGCCTCTTACGTTTTCAATGTCAGATAAGAACCCTAATGCAAAGATTAAGAGATGGAGGGCTTTTATAGAGGAATTCGCTCCAAAGTTTTTTTATAAACCGGGTAATTTGAACATTGTCGCGGATGCTCTGTCAAGGCAGTGCATGAATCATCTGACCGAGTCTTATTCGCATTCAGAGGTTTCTTTGTCGGATACCATAAAAATGGTACAAACGTGTCTCAACAGTTTTAGAAACCAGATTTTGGTTTACAATCGGGAAGGCAAGGAAAAGAGTACGAAGATATTGTTTCAGAGATACATCCGATATGAAATAAATTTTATAGACGAACAGAACTTAATTCGACTGCTCAGGGAAACTGTTAACCCTAATGTGGTCAATGCGATCTGGTGTGAGGAAGAAATTTTTGGATCAGTACCGGGAATATTGTTACGAAATTTTCCGGGAGTTCGATTTGTATGAGTTAACTCATGACTCCCACGCCGACGTACGTTCCATGTAAACATCACAATAACAGTATAAGAATTTGAAACACTTGCAATTTTAAGTTTCAAGCGATAGCTTGCAATTCTCCAGAAATGAAACCCGAGCCGCAACTGCAGCTGTGACAACATGAATACGGCAGCTCTTGGCAGAACCATGCAATTAGCTTAAGCAAATTTGTATTCTTACTATTGGCTTTGCTTGGATATTTTTGTGTGTGTGTTGGAAGTAAATTCTTTTTAGAAACGTTAGGAGATATTTCAATGTTTAATAAAGTTTTAGTTTGTCTCTACCATCAAAAGAAATAAGTTGTTTTAATTCGGTCTTCCAATATTGTTGCTATCAGTTGGCATTTTTATTATTTCATCAAATCATAAAGAGGAAGGAAAACAAAAGGATTTTCATCCATCAATTTAGTGGCAGAGTTGACGATTTCAATCTATTTACCAGTAACTAAGTCAAGGAATCAACAATGAAAGAAGTTATATAATATGTATGTACATATATATATACATTTGTATATTATAGAATCACATCCACATTAACTGCAATCAACATATCGATGGCTGAGTGGGAGATGGACCTATCTCGGCAGCCAGTTCAAACACACCCTATCTCAGAAAACTTTTCAAGAACGCCCTATTCAGAATTTTATTGAAAAACACCCTATCTCAGAATTTCGTTAAATAACGTCCTATCTCAGATTTCGATTCAAAAACGCCCTATCCCAAACGAAAATACATTGAAAATAAGCTGAGATAGGGCGTTTTTGAATCGGCAGCTGAGATAGAGCGTTTTTCAATCAAATTCTGAAGTAGGGCCCTCTTAAAAAGTTTTCTGAGATAGAGCGTTGTTGAAAAATTTTCTGAGATAGGGCGTTTTCGAACTGGCTGCCGAACTGGCTTCCACTCAGCCATCGATATGTACATAAGTATGTTTCTACATACATACGCTGCGATTTGGTTATAAATATTGCGGAATCTGTTATTCAAAAGCCGAAATACCTACACACCATGGTTGTGTGATTTCAAATCCTTTTTGATTTTAAATGCGCTTTAAATTAACAAATATATTTGATTTGTGATTTGGTTTGTTGACCAAATAGGAGATAAGTTTTATTTGTGATTTGATTCGTCAACCAAATTAAAGACAAGTTTTATTTGTGAAATCAGAAATCAAATTGATGTGTCATTTGAATCGCCCTTCGAATCAGAAATCAAATTGATTTGTGATTTGATCGCCCTCCAAATCAGAAATCAAATTTATTTGTGATTTGATTTGTAGAGCGAATCATTTGATTTGTGATTTTTCAACCAAATAATACTCTGGTATGAAAGGCAACTACTTCGTGGTTTTCGGGACTGATTCGGAATTTTCGGGACTATTTCGATATTTTCGGGGTTCTCGGAAATATATCGGTACTTTTGGGACTATTTCGAAATTTTTGAGACTTCTTCGGGATTTTGGGGATAATTCCATAATGTTGGGACTATTTCGGGGTTTTCGACACTACTTAGGAAAATTCGGGGGTTCTCGGGATTTTAGGACTATTTTAGGACTATTTCGGGATTTTCGAGAATTCTTCGAGATTTTCTGGACTACTTCGGGTTTTTCAAGACAACTTCGGTATTCTCGGGCGCATATCGGGATCTGCGAGACTAATTCGGGATTTTTGGGACCAATTCGGATTCTTTGGTACTATTTCGGGTTTTTCGAAACTACTTCGAGATTGTCGGGGTTCTCACTATATGGGGATCTTCGGGACTACTTTGAGATTTTTGGAACTATTTCGGGGTTTTCGACACTACTTTGAGATTTTTGGGACTATTTTGGAATTTTTGGAACCAATTCGGAATTTTTGGAACGATTTCGGGTTTGTAAAGATTTTCGGTGTTCTCGGGACTACATCGGGATTTTTGGGGCCATGTCGGCATCTTCGGGTCTACTTCGGGAATTTTGGGATCAATTCGGAATTTTTGGGACGTTTCTGGTTTTTCGAGAGTACTTTTGGTGGTATTTTCGCTGTTCTCGGGATTACATAAGGATTTTTGAGCAATTTTGAGATTTTCGAGTCTAACTGGGGATTTTCGAGGGCACCCTGAAATTGTGCATATGGAAACTGTGCATACGAAATAATGCATATGAAAAAAACCGAAATAATGCATACGAAAAAAACCGAAATAATGCATATATGCACAGTTTCGGTTGAAAACCGAAATAACGCATATGAAAAAAACTGAAATAATGCATATATGCACAGTTTCGGTTGAAAACCGCAATAATGCATATTAGAAAAACCGAAATTATGCATATGCACTCTTTCGTTTGAAACCCGAAATAATGCATATGAAAAAACCGAGATAATATATATATGCACAGTTTCGGTTGAAAACCGAAATAATGCATATGAAAAAACCGAAATAATGCATACATGCACACTTTCGTTTGAAAACCGAAATAACGCATATGAGAAAAACGCAGTAATGCATTCATGCACAGTTTCGGTTCAAAACCGCAATAATGCATATGACAAAAACCGAAGTATTGCATACATGCACAGTTTCGACTCAAAACCGAAGTAATGCATATGACAAAAACCGAAATAGTGCTTACATGAAAACGAACT